ATCTGTGCTTTTTGTACAGATTACTTCCTGCTTTCTCTTTAAATTTTTAAAATTTTGGTATATTATGCACAACATGAAATTGATCTTTTTTACCATTTCAGGTATCAATTCAGTGGCATTTAGTACATTCATCACCACTATCTTATTCTAGGTCCCCTAAAGAAAACTCTATGCAACATCAATGCAATTGAGTACTTTGCAACTATGAAAAGATAGTAAAGATATCAGACTCATACGGAGGGATTTTCACAATATATTGTTAAATGGGAAAAAAGCAATCAATAGCATGATACTCTTTGGATAAAGATGAAGGGGAAATAAAATATATGTGTATCTGCCCCTTTGATGAAAAAGAAAACCAAGAAGAACAAATCAGAAACCAGTGAGACTGCTTACCTACAGGAGGTGGGTGGGAATGGGTAGAAAAGTTGGGGAGATGAGACTATTTATTTGTATAGGTTTGACTATGTGACCTATTACCAACTAAACAATAAACAGAAGAGGTGGTGAATAAAGTAAAACAGAATAAAAAAAGCCAAGTGCACCTAATACAAAAAAATTAATACTATATATAAAGTTAATGGGAAAATAAAATAACTAACCAAAGTTATTTTTAATCCAAATTTTGTCTATATACTCTCACAATAAAGGAAAAACTGGAAATAAAGTTTGGAGCTGCAGTTAGTGTGTCATTAGTAGTGGTATAAGTTGAAAATGTTGAAATAACATGGGTTCAAAGATTCAGGAAATAAGTAAACATATTGAGGAAAATGGAATGGCTCCTCAGTCTTGGGGAAAGGTGCTGTGTATATGGTAAAGGAGGGGCTGGAAAGAACTCTATGGTGTGAAACTTAAATTGGAGATTTCAGTTTAAACTTATAGGGTTTAATATGTATAAATACATTGAAATCTATACATTCTATAGCAACATACTGTTCCCATTCCCTCATTCTTTCTGTCCCGCTCCTGACCCACCTCCTATGGGTAGTCATTCATTTAGTTTCTTAGTTTCTACCTTTTACTTCTAGTGTATCATTTATATTGGGTTGTCGGAAAAGTTATGATGTATTTAGTCTATGTTTTTCAAAGGTCATTTATTTATATAAAGAACAAAGATCAATCAATGATATATTGCCCGCTTTGTTCAATAACCTTTTGCCATCTTTCAGTGAACTTCATAATTCCTTGTTCATAGAAGGATCTGTCTTTATTTGCAAAAAACTGAACAAGGTGCTGGTTTACAGCCTCATCTAAATTGAACATTATACCACGCAAGGAGTTTTGAAGAGAGCGAAACAAGTGGAAGTGTGACGGCACAAGGTCAGGCGAGTATCATGGGTGTGGCAACACATCCCATCCAAGCTCCAATCATTTTTTATGGGTGATCAAACTTGTGTGTGGTCTAGCGTTGTCACGATGGAACACAACTCCTTTACAATTAACAAGCTCTGGATGTTTCTGGATGATGGATTCTTTCAAACTGTCCAATTGCCAACAGTAAACATTGAAACTGATTGTTTGGTT